ATCTGATAACGTGGAAAAGCCCCTTTTTCCGCCCAACGGCAGCAGAACAGGGAGGATTCATCCTGCTTCATTTGCCACAAAGCACCTGGAGGTACCTGCTACCTCCTCAGGATGATGCCACAGGCAATTTATCCCAGACCAAGGGATTGTTCTGTGATGGATTTGTGGGGATTAATTACACCTCATCCCTGCTGAGATCCGTAACAAGATTGTTTCCTGAACCTGGCTGCTTCACTCTCTCCTCTTCTACTTTCCTTCCTGATTCAAAGCACGTTGTGTCCAGTGGGATTTGGGTTTGGGGTTGTTTTTCCTTCTTCCCCCGGGATGTTGGTGAGGGACAACAGGCAGCAGGAGCAGCTCCAGCATGGGGAATGTCACCCCAACTGGGGCACATGAGAATGAGTCCCTTTGGGATTGCACTTCCCTGGATGATGTTTCAGCTTCTGACCTGGGCTCAGGAGGTGGTTTTTCCATGGATAGGGCTGCCTCTGGTTTCAAGAGGAAGGTGTAACCCCCTGGAGAAGGAGGTGGGACCCAGTGCATGGTGTTTGGTCACTCCTTTTGGCTGCAGAAGGAAATTCCCTCTGGGTTGGGCAGGAGAGGAGGAGGCTGCTGGTCCTCTCCCATCTGATCCCAGAGATGGATGTTAATCCATCTCTGTGGTCCTGGCCCTGAGCTGAGGCTCTCTGGGGTGGCACTGGGTTGTTTTGGGATTGTCCCTGTGTCTGTGCTTGCTGTCCCATCCCCATGCAGCCTCCCAGATGGAAGGGGAGACACCAAGGAAGCAGTAAAGCCGAAGCTGGAGCTGGGAATTCTGAGGAGGAGATCAAAACCTCTTAGCAGCAGGATTTTCTCCAGCCCTGAGGGACATTTAAATGTTCTCGTGTTCCAAGTGATTGACGGCGCTCGTGCAGTGACAGAGAAAGTCCTGCCTTGATTTCCTTGGGTTTCCCCAAGGAGCCGATGTGCCATGGGGGAGGGATGAAGGGGAGGAGCAGGATGGCACAGATGGGCTTTGAGGCTGGAGAAGGCGATGATGGTCTTTTCCTCCAGGATAAAAAGGGGCAAACAAGTTGCTCCAGGACAGCTCCAAGCCCCTCCAACCTCTGCAGAACAGGTAATAAGGTGCTGGCCACATTTTGGGGTGATTCACACTGTCATGGTCATTCAGCATCCAGAAAAACTCAGCTCCAAGTGAGAATTTTCAAGCTGTAGCAGCACTGTCCCATGTCTGGGATGCTCACAACCCACCTTCTCACCAGAAATCTGCTGCTGAAACACAAGTTCTGAGCTGAAACCTCGTTCTCTTGCTCTGGATTATGGATTTTCCCTTCCTTAACTTTATTTCTGGATCTTTTGGTCTGGGATGGACCCACACCACCCTGGCTGTGCCCACAAACCCCAGCTCACCTTCCCTCACCCTGGCTGTTTCCCTCCTCCTGCCGCTTCCATGGGAGCTCCGGGGTATTTAGTGGAGTTTAAATCGCTTTTGTGGAAACAAAACTGGCTTTGGGCTTGCGGCAGAAATTCCCAGAGCTCCCAGGCTGGGAGATTGTTTTTCCTCAGTCAGATTAATGAGGTTAGTCCACGAGCCTGAGCTGATTTGGGGTGAGGCTATTCCAGGCTGGGTGTGGGCAGCCAGTGGCTCCACGGCGCGAGGAGGCTTTGGCAGGATAAAGGAGAGCCTTGTTCCAGCTGGGAACTCACCCTGCTAAAGGGGTTAAAAGGGATGAGGGCTTTGCTTCCCCAGGGGTTTTCCATGGGGTGCTGTTGGATGGATTTTTTGGGTCCCCTGCCAGCTCCCAGGACAGGTAACAAGAGCTTCTTCCAAAGTGAGACTTGTCCTTCTCCTCCCAGGTCCCACGTCGGATGCTGCCAGGGACCAGTTTGCACCAGTTCATTCCACAGACATTCCCTTCCAAGCCATCCCTCTCTCGCCACAGGGCCTGGGAATGAGCCACCCTTCCTGCAGAGGGAGTGAAACCATCCTGGGGCACCAAATACAAGGACTGTCTTGTTTCCTTCTCTCCAGGTGGGACACCAGGTATGTGGTTGGGTTCCACCCATCCCTGTGCAGGAGTGAGTCCCTGGAATGGGATGGGAAGGGGTTGAGATAATGGGATGGGATGATGAAATGAGGTAAGATGAGGTGAGATGATAAGGGAAGGGAAGGTTTGGAAAGGGAAGGTTTGGAAAGGGAAGGTTTGGAAAGGGAAGGTTTGGGAAGGGAAGGTTTGGGAAGGGGCTGAGGGTACTCAGCACCCATAGAGGGGGTGTGGACAAACAGACAGGATGGATCCTGCATCCCTTTCCCTCTGGACCAGCTCAAGGTGTCCACGTGTCCCCTTTTCCTCCCTCTCTTTACATTAGGGAGGGAAACTGAGGTACAGTCAGGGCAAGCACCCTTTCCAGCTTCCCAGTTCCTTCTTCCAAGGCCAGTGAGGCCAACTGGAAAGACTGGGAGCTGCTGGAAGTGTTTCAATGGGGAACATGGAGCACCTGGAAGAACTGGGCTTTACTTTTGTTTTGCAGGGATGAACGGAATGAGGGGATACTTCCTCCGTTGGCAAAGATCTGACAGCTCCCAAGGGCTGTGGGGAGAAGGATTTGGGGTTGCTGGAGAAAAAAAGGTGCTGTTTCCACCCAGAAACCCCCCAAAACTGGGTTTGGTTTTTATCTCCCATTTCCCAATCTATTCTCCACACAGCCCCAGATCCAGAGCTGCCTCTTCCACTTCCTCAGCAGCAGCAAAGCAACTCACTGGATTTATGTGACATTTCCACCTCTCCCCAACCCCAAAGCCAATTTCTCTCTTTGATTTTTTTTTCCCCCCAGACAGTTCTTGTGGCTTTCCCGACTGCTCCTAATGGAGACGTCCATCAGGGAGGACATTAACCCAGATATGATTCCAAGCAGGAAGGGATGCATTAACGACCATTTAAATCCATGTACATCACTGATCTGGCTGAGGAATATGGGATAATTCCTCTTGCTCTCCTGACAAGTGATTTTTTTTCCCCTCCTCCTTTAAACCCAGCCATGCACAAGGATGAGGGTTTTTTTGGCTTTCCAGGCTAGATTCAGCCTTTTTGTGGCTGAGGAAGGGGCTGAGCACCATGGTGAGACACCTCCAGACCCACAGTGAGAGCTCTCAGCCCTTCCTCCAGAAGAGATTTCATCCCACAGAGCTTCTGCAGCAAACATTAAGGAAAATAAACCAAGCAAAGAAAGCAGTTTTTCCTGGCTGGGAATGGTAAACAGGAGCTGAATTTGGGGGTTGGTGGGTAAACCCAGGGTTAACCCACAGTCAGCCTCGACTGGAGCAGAAAACCTTCTTTTGAGAGTAAATGCTGAGGTCTTAATGTTGAATTATATGGCATAAAGCAGAGTAATACTCAACCAATTACACTAATGCTGCTTATTTGCTCTTGTTACAGAGAGTAATTGCTCACCCAGAAGGTGTTAAATTAGAGAAGAGCAGAACAAACAAAACTATTCATTTTATTCACTATATATTTAAACACCTACCACTCTGGAGCGCGAGCAGCCACCGCTCTCCGGGTGTTCCCTACCCCACTTGAGAGCCAGACAAAGACATTTGTCACAGCTGTGGGTGGTGTTTCTCCTTTTCAAGCGGCTCTGGGAATGCCAAGGGATGTGTTGGGGTTTATTTATCCTCCCTGCCATCAGCTCAGCTTCCTGCCGCTGCCTCTCCCAGGCAGGGAGGGGAAACCGAGGCACGGGGGGGGGAGTGGGATCACGATGACATTGAGCATGTCCAGCTAATAAATGAGGGGGTTTGGGGATCCCATGGCAAGCACAGGCCATCCTGGCAAGGTCTGGGGACAATCATCTGCTGGTGGAACTGCCACCACTGCCCCAGCCCACCCAGGGCAGCCTGGATGATTAAATATTAATATTTAATTAATTAGACCGGGGGGGGGGAAATATTAAATACTAAAGAGTGAGGACAAGAAGGAGGAAGAAGGAGACCAAGAAGAAGAAGAGGGTGGTGGGAGAAAGTTCACTGATCCTGGGAGTGGCTGTAGCATCCCTGTGAGCATCCCTTGGGATGAGCTGGAGTTGGGTGACTGAGACCACCCCCTAGTTCCCAACTGGAGTTGGGAGGCGCTTTTACCCTGTCTCTACCCTGCTCAGGACACAACCCTGGCTCCTGCTCCTGTTTCCAGCAGCCTTGGGATGAAGCAGCTGGTCCAGTTCACAGTAAGTGCCACCTCCTCCTCCTCGGGGTCCCACGGAGAGGATCCTGTGAGGGGCTGCAGGATCCTCACGAGTTCTGCTCCTCAAACCATCTCATTCAACCAGTGTTAATTCAAGAGGGAGATGCTCAGGGTCCTCCAGGAACACCCTGTGGCTTGTTTTGCAGTGTGCTGCTGCACCCAGGAGGGGCTGGAGGTGCCTGGGGAGCACCAGTGTGGGGGGCTGCACCCCCCCGAGATCCAGCCGGCGTCGTCCCCCTGGAGCCACACGGCAAAATTCCACTGCTTTATTTAGGTTATAGCCGTGTCCTATAAATAACCCACTCCAGAGAAGTCTGCTGCAAACAACATGCTTTAAAAAACATGTTATTATCCACTCTGCCTTCCTAATTAATTCCATCTCTCGCCATCCGTGAGTGAAGCCCGCAGGGTACCCGGCATCTGTGCTGGGTGGGACCCCTGGGGGGTGCTGGCACCCCTGAGGGGGAAAGTGAGACCCCCAGGGGGATTCTGAGACCCCCACGGAGATGCTGAGAGCCCTGAGTGATGCTGCAGGGGTGGGTGAGACAGCGGTGGGTGGGTTTTCAGCTGTCAGGGGTGTCGTCTGCTGATGCTGGGACAGCTGAGCCACCACGGGTCACCTCTGCTGGGCAGGGAAAGCCTTGACTTAATAAGGATTTAACTAAAAAAAAACAAAAACAGAAGAAATTTGCTCATGGGAGAAGTGGTCTGTGTTATTTTAGGGTGTTACTGAGGGTTACAGGCAGAGCCAGGGAGGGCATGTCTCGCCCCGGGACTGCTGGGTGGGAGGAGGAGGACGAGGAGATGCTCACTGTGAGGTGGACCGGCTGCTTCCTCAGGATCTGCCTGTGGATCCAAGCTGGTGGCAACCATGGAAGCACAGGAAGGATGGAGAATAAGGAGTCCAGAGCTGCTGAGGGTGATGCCCACCCTATCTGCCCTGTCTGAGACGGGTCCCCCAGCAAGGGCAGATCTGCACTGGGGAGCCGTGATGGTGACCAGGCTCAGAAGATCAGGGGACGATGCCCCCTGGGAAGGCAAAAAGCTCCGTGGACTTTCCTCTCACCTCGAGGAACATGATGGATTGTCCCTGCTCTGCCGAGAGCCCGGCTGGATGGCAAAAAACATTAAAGCAATCCAAAGGGGCTGGAAAGCCGAGGCAGGAGTTTTGGGGAGATAAGGGAGGGAACATTGCTCATGCAGAGCCGGGGAGATTAGGGCGGTGACAACTTTATTCAATTTCCAGGAGAAACCTCTGGCGGAAGGCGGGAGCGCCGGCACGTGTGCCGGGAGCGGGCTGCCACGCGGGATTAAGGGATGCTTTTCCCTGCCACCTTTCACGTCCCCGACGGCCGGTGCTGCGCTGAAGGTTAACCTGAGTGATGAAGACAGGGCTCAGCAGCTGTATTTCTCTTAGGCTTTGCCTAAACCCTGCTGCTCCTGACGGGATGCTCGGCGTGGGTGGGGCTGGGAGCGGGAGCCAGGAATTCGGGTGAAGCCGTGAGTCCTGCCAGCTACATCTGCCTGTGGGTGTCCCTTTGGGCTGGGTGCTGGGGCACAGCACCTCCTGGGGACAAGTGGGTCTCTCATCCTTCGGGAAAAGAAACACACTGGATTGGCAGTGAGTCTCTTGCAGGATCCCAAGCTATAAAAAACCCGGAGCGACGTTACGGGAGAGCTTTGCTGACATCTCTGATGAGGCCAGGACGCAAACAGGGATACGAGTTAATTATAAGCTCCGTTCAAAACACGTGGGGGGAAAAAGAAAATCACCTCTAATTGCTAAATGGGATAGAGGAATGTCAGCGTAGGAAGCAAGGAGTGCTGCCAGCGTTCCAAAACACCGGGAAGCCGTGAAGAGCGTGTTGGGAGAAGGATCCCCACCCCTTAGAGACCCTCCCCACCCATCTCTGGGTCAAGCACGAGGTGAGAAAGGAGCTGGTGGAGCCCAGGTGGGGTGGTGGCAGGTCTGGCACCTCCCTGCTCCGTCCCACAGATTGAGCCATGGGATTCCTCTTGAATTTTGCATTATTTGTGGTGTTGCCCAGGTTGGGGAGAAGGAGGAGAGGAGCCACGTCCCCACAGACATTTGATTTTTAGTTTTATTGCCCCAAATCATATGTTTCTCCCCTTTTTTCTTCCATTCCTGCCTCAAGACTGGCTCTGCGAAGGGAAGAGCACAACCCTCATTTGGCTTTGGAACTCCTTCCCATGGGGTGCCATCACCAAATTCATGGAGGAAAAAGACTTTTAGGGACAAGATTATTCAAATAATCCCTCTACCACTAACTTCTGGCATCATTTCATGCTCTCTCTTCTCCTGTACCCACCTGGGAAACCAGGAATACAAAGCTCGGGGGGATTTTTGTGGGTTTGGCCCGGGCTGCAATGACAAATCTGCCTTTCCTTGTCTTGGAAATGACCCCATGGGTGGAATCAAGAAGGTGATGGTTGGACAGGGGATTTTGAAGGCGTCAAAGTGGGATTTGCTCAGGTGCTGGTGTTTCCCTTGCTGCAGCCCAGGGTGGGAGGGAGGGGAATGCAGAGCACCTGCCCAGGCACAGGGTGGGAAGGGATGGAGCAGGAGACATCCCGGTTTCCCTGGGGTCCATCCTGAAGGATGGCTGAGACCTGGCAAACTCAACTTTCTCAGCAATCAGAGGGATGTGAAGAGCAGGCGTTTTTATTATTCCCTTTCAATCATTTTTCTACTTGTTTTTTTGCCTGGAGAGAGGAGAGCCATTGGATGACGGGATAAGGAGGTGATTCCTCTGCAGTGGTGGCACGAGCAGATTTCCTTGTCAGGTGAGGCTGTGACATCTCTAAATTGGGCTCAGCTGGGTGGAAAATTAATAGGAAAACCTTAGCTCCATCAGGGAAAGGTGGAGGTCTCTCTCCTCTTCCACTGGGAGCCTTGGGAGGCTTTAGTCCCATCCACTCATCCTCACAGCACAGGGACTGAAGAGCTGGGGGATACTGACCCTGCTCCTGGGGCTTGTGGTCATTGATGAGGTGGGAACTGGAGAAGAAAGGGGAATTTCTGCCATAAACTGCTAAAATTCCCTGGGGGAAAAGTCTGCTGTTCCCCAAAACCTGTTTTGGGGCAAGAAAGCGGAGATTCAGGTTCAGTTAAATTCCCCCTTTTTCTCCCCTGCGCTTTTCCTCACCCGGCTGCCTTGAAAATCAACTCAATCCTGGAAAATCCGTATTAGAAAGGAGGCAGGAAAATCCTGGGAATGAGCATCTGGGTGAGTTTGATGGGGACGGAGCCAGTGGAACCTCAGTGCCACCGTGCCCCACGGTGATCACGTGTCCCCCTGAATTCCAGGAGGTGACGCCCAATCACTCACGTGACTCTCCCAATTCTCCTAAAAATAATAGCAATGAAAAACTATTTTTTTAGGGAATTAAGTCGCTAAGGAATTTGATCGCTTGGGAATGCAGTGAATTCCTGGCGTTGGTAATTTATTTCTGCAAAGGAAAAGTAGGATGGACAGGCTGAGGGGAAATTTGGGATTTGATCCCAGCAGAGATCCCAGCTGGCGGCTGCCTCAGTTTCCCCAGCGTCCTGCTTCACCTCACCCTCTTCTTTGGAATTCCCTCAGCTCTGGTCCTGGATACCAGCTCCCACATCCATTCCCATATAAATACATGAATATATGAAGATATAAATATATATATATTATAAAAAAATATTTCCCGCTATAAAGATAAGGAGGTAAAAAAGCTTCAAAGGGGTCCAGCCCCTGTGCCTCCTCCCCAATCCCGCCTGGGGACGGGGTTTCTGTGAGCGCGGGGGAGCAGCCACCCTGCAGAGGTGCTTCGCGGTGTCACCCCGGCGCGCTGGCACCGCAAGCGTGGGCTGCTGGCACCCATCTAGTGGGGGCGGGACCCCCGTACAGCGGGACAGGACCCTCGGTGTGTCCCTTCCCACTCCTTGGTGGCCCAGGGACGGAAGCCCTCTGGCCGCCCCTCTCTACGGAGTCTGAGCCCGTGTGGGGCTGTGGGGATTTGGGATGGGGCCCTGCGTGTCCCTCCCCCTCCCCGTTAAGGGTCGTGGGTGGGGGTGGCAGCTTGTCCCCTCGGCCACCACAGCCCGGTGGCATCACATGGCCTGGGGAGTGGGACGGGGTGCAGAGCCAGGTGGGACCCTCAAACCTATACAGTCCCCCCTTCCTCCCATAACCCCTCCACCCCTCTCCAGGTCTGTCCCTGTGCGTGTCCCTCCCTCTGTCCCCCCAGATCTTATCCCTCCCCATTTGGGGAGAAGCAGAGGGAAGTGACCCACGGCCAGCCCCCCATGTCCCTGTCCCCACTCAGGACAGGCAGCTGTGGGGATTTGGGATGGGACCCTGCATGTCCCTCCCCCTCCCCGTTAAGGGTCGTGGGTGGGGTTGGCAGCTCGTCCCCCCCGGGCATTACATCCCGGTGGCACCACATGGCCTGGGGGAAGGGATATGGAGCCACGCAGGACCCCCACCCTTGCACCAAACCTAGGGACCCCCTCCAACCCTGTCCCTGGGTTGATCCATCCCCGATCCATCCCCCCAGATCCTGCCCCTCCCCACCCGGGGGGATGCAGAGGGAAGTGACCCACTTATAGCCCCCCGTGTGCCCCCCGTGGGGCCTTGGGGTGTGGGAGGAGGAGGTTAGTCCAGGATTTCCTTCCTGGCCAGCGCTGCGCTGCCTATTACATCAACTCTGGTATTTCCAGTCCCCGCGGGGAGAAGGGAGGAGCCAGGAAAAGCAAGGAAATATTGGGGAATGCAGGGAACTGGGGAATCCCACGGGTGGGATTCAGGCCCCTCAATGACACTTGGAGCCGGGATCCCCCGTGGTCCGGCTGGGCTTGGCCCCTTGGAGCCTCAGCCTGGCTCCACCCCTGGCTTTGGAGCTGGGAACGAGAGCGGCAGGAGGGAGGGAAAACGGGAAAAGGAAAAATCTACATGTGGAAAACACACGTCCCAGTGGGCGGGACTTAAAGCAACAGGGAAATGCCAGGTGGCACAAGGGCAGCTGCAGGGACGGGAGGGTGGCAGGGATTGGGGTGCCCACCCCAGCTTTTGGGGTGCTGCCTCAATTTCCTCAGGGAAATGCCAGGATGCTGGGATGCTGTTTCCTAGCCTCCTTCCTGCCCCAAAATATCCTGCCTACGGATGCCAGGCTGGGATTGTGGGGCTGTAAAAAGGCAGGAGGGGGTTCAGGGGACCCAAGAGAGGACAAGGAGTCCAGATCCTTCATTCCATGAGGTGAAGGAGAGAGCTGTAGTGATGATTCCAGTGGGGTGATGGATTCGGGATCGACAGGAGCTGGATCCAGCTGGCAGCAGGTTTGGGGACCCCCTGGAATCACTCCTCATGTCCCCCCTTTTTATTTAATATTTCCAGCAGAGTTACCAGCTGGTCTCCGGTTTTATTCCGGATGTTTTATACAGGACCCATCCTCATCTGGGATACACTACCATGGGAAAAATAATCCCAGATTGACCCAAAGAGTAAAATTCTGGGAGAAAACTCCATTTTTTGAGCACAGTTTCCCTTTGAAACCTACTGAAAGCTTTTGTGAGGGAGTGAAGGTGCTTTTCCAGGCCCTCACCTGGCATCAGTCCTCTGTGTGGGATAGGCACTGGTGGATTTGGGTCCCTTTGGGAGAAAATGGGATCCTTAAAGGGTTAAAAAAGGGGTAAAAAAGTGAATTTTCAGGTTTTTATCCCAACTGGCTTTTATCCCATTTTGCCTGCAGCCAGCACCCTGCAGCTTTTCCTTCCAGCTCCTGGAGGGCAGATCTGTGTCAGAAGTGGGTCTTAGGACAAAATCCATAAAATCTTCCCCAATTTAAAAAGTGTGAATCATTCCAAGGTAAAAAAAGAAAAAAAAAGTGTAAAAAATTGAAATTTCAGGCTTTTATTCTGAGTGGATTCATTTTGCTTGGAGCCAGCACCCTGCAGCAGCCCTTCTTCCCAGGTCCTGGAGGGCAGAATCCGTGCTAGAGGTGGGGCCTAGGACCATGATCCATAAAATCTTCCCCAATTTAAAGGAGTGAATCATTCCAGGGTTAAAAACAAAGTGCAAAGGCCTGAAATTTCAGGTAAAAATCTGAAATCACAAGTTTTTATTCCGAGTGGATGCATTTCCTCTCAGCTCCTGGAGGGCAGGATCCATGCTGGAAGTGGTTCTTAGGCCCAAAATCCATTAAATTGCCCCCAGTTTTGAAGGCATGAATCATTCCAGGGTTAAAAAAAAGTGTAAACCACAAAATTTCAGGGTTTTGCCTGGAGTGGATACATTTCCTCCTGGCCCCAGGAGGGCAAGATCCATGCTGGAAGTGGTTCCTATGGCTAAAATCCTTAAAATCGTCCCCAGTTTTGAAGGCACAAATCACTCCAGGGTTAAAAACAAGTGTAAAAAACTGAAATTTCAAGTTTTTACCCCAAGTGGAATAATTTTGCTTGGAGGCAGCAGCCCTTCCTCCTGGCTTCTGGAGGGCAGGATCCATTCTGAAGGTGGTTCCTGGGACCAAAACCCTCAGAATTCAACCCAATTTTGAAGGTGTGGTTTAAAAACCTGTGAAAACCTGAAATTTCAATTTTTAATCTCGAGTGGATGCATTTACACCTGGGTCAGGGAAGGAAGGATCTGTGCTGGACGTGGCTCCTAGGTATAAAATCCATCCCCAGTTTTGAAGGTGTGACTCATTCCAGGGTTGAAAAGAAGTGCAGAAATGTGAAATGTCAGGTTTTTATCCCAAGGGGATTCATTTTGCTTAGAGCCAGCACCCTGCAGCCTTTCCTTACAGCTCCTGGAGGGCAGGATCTATGCTGCAGGTGGTTCCTAGGACCGAAACCCGCATAATTCAACCCAATTTTTGATGGTGTGAATCTTTCCAGGGTTAAAAAAACTGCCAGCCCCAACATTTCACTTCTTTATCCCAAGTGGATGCATTTCCTCCTCGTCCTGGCTCAGGGAGGGAAGGATCCGTGCTGGAGGCGGTTCCTAGTACTAAAA